TTTAGTGGTTCCGGCTAGGTGATTTTTTCATTTTTTAACTCTTAACCTTTTTTTAACCCCAGTAGGGGTTGATTTTTAAAAATCCTAGCTTAGTGCACCCCTGCATTACTTAAAGAACCTCTGTAACAAATTTCAAGTCTCTAGACCCAGCGGTTTGGTCTGGGTGTTGATGAATGAATAGTATTGGTCTCCCATTTAGGTGTAATTGATAATATAATAGATAATTTTTAATTTTAAAACGAAAAAGTAATTTGTTCACTTAATCTTATTCATTACTATTTGATRTTATCTAATGTTGTCCATACGAGGTGTTTTAAGAAAATTCATATGACTATAACCGTTGCTGAGTATCGTGTTTTAAAAATATTATAATGTATTTCATATTTTGTAATTTATTAATATTCACTACGCGGTGATGATTTATCTTATACGAAATTATACGAAGAAAACGTATATTATAATAACACGGTGTTATGCAATATATTATACATATATTATATTACATGTGAAATCGTGAAACATATAATGTAGGAAAATTACTTGTCAAAGTTTATACTAACTCGAAAAGTTCGGCTCGTAACGGCCGGTTGGTGTGCGTGTTAACTATAGTACACGTATATAGGTATAATATGGACATATGGTACAGGTCTAAAATTAATTAAAAAAATTGTAGCCCAGCAAAGACTAAATTAATATGTCGGTCCCATATATCGCGAATATACGAACCGTTCTGCTAGCGAACAGGTGTTAAATTTAGCCGCTGAACGTGTTATAATATTATATGATTTTAATAGCTCYCTTATAATATAGGAACACGAATGAAATAATCGAAGCTTTTAAAAATGTGTTTTTCGACGTATTTAACTCTCGTGGCCACTCTTTCTCCATAATACACAATATGCGTACCTATATAGCAGGGCTCTGGTAGCTAAGTGGTGCATACAATAACTATATCAAGTGTGAAATGTTAGGTGAGGCGGGATAAACGGTTTCCTACCGAGTCATTGAACGAAAAATATTTTATGTTTTGTTTGAATTGCAAAAATGTATATCAATAATATTTTGATCGTCGTGTTGAAAATTATTAATTTATGTTTTCGTGCGATTGACACGCCTCCGTAGTACGTGACCTATAACCTAGAAAACAAAGGATATTTCTCATGAGACATAATATTATTATAATACCCGACACCAATTTTTTCTTACTCAATTATTTCTGTTTTGAAATCTGATTTTTACAAATTATTAYCGTATTAAATATAACACTATACATAATTATTATTTTATATCGGGACATTTTATATCGTTGTTAATGAAGTGTATTATAGACAAAAAAAAAAAATATATATATAAATATATAATATAGTATTAACCTAGAGTTCGTGTTTATTAGAAATTTTAAATGGTCATGTGAACCCGATTTGGTTAATGATAGTTCAGATAGTTCATGATTTTTTAAAAACAATTTTAGAGTTTTATTCTAAATTTACATCGATCATTAATTATAATAGTAGAGTAAACATAAATTTCAAGATGTCAGTGAAAAGTATTAAATTCTAAAATAAACTATATAATCTTTATTGTTTATTCAATTTCATTAAATAATATTTGATGCATTGAAAGATATTTTTGAAGCCAGCCTCAAACCTCTTCCCCCGTTCTCAAAAAATTACTCACTTAATATACTTTTAAGTTTCAAATTATTATAATTATATATACTTGAAGGGGATTAAAGAGGTACCCCACGCGTGTGCACTAAGTTATCAACAAAAATAGTACGACTGATTAAAATTTTTAGAAATGGATGGTTGATTGTTACACTAAGTAATACTATCGTAATTAAAGTAATTCGCTAATGAAACGACGTTAATATTTTGTTTGTAATGCGTTACGAAATTTTATTAAAACTTTWCTGAGAAAGGACAMTTTTTTGACATGTTAATTCTAAAA